CCATCCTGTTCCATTCCCCCCTCCATGAGTGGGGTTGCCAAGCACTAGATGAGGTTGCTCCAAGCTCCACCTGACCTGGCCTTGAAACCAGCGTGGATCCCCCTGGTATTTCAGCCAGACTTGGTGGATTTGGGCTCTTCCAATCTTTCCTAACTTGGTCATTCTGCTGTGGGAGTGACCTGAGGAGCTCTGTCCTGCTGTCTGGAGCCTCCCAGAACAGTTACAAACCCAGCTGTGTTTTGGCAAGGGGTGAACAGAGCAGCTGCCTGCAACAGGCCTCAGGTGGTTTTCCAAAAGGTCCTACTGGGGTCTTCCTTTTTTTTTAACTGGTATTTCTGTATTCCCCAATTTCCCTGTTCTCCTTCACCAAACCATGTTGTCATTGCACATCTAAATGAAGCAATTCAGCCTTCCCTGACCCTCCAAGGAAGGAGGAGATGATGTGCCCAGGTCAACCTGGTGTTGTCAGGAGCCAGGCTGGCCCTCCTGCCCTCTGTGCCCCATCTGCATGACTCAGGAAGACCAGGAGAACCATCCACGCCTGGAACCTCCTCAGCTTGTCCCACGGCCCCTTGTTCCCCTCCTGAACTCCCCCTGACCACCCTGAGCTGAAACAGAGCTTCCCCTCTGCACCAGGGGGGAGATCTGAGGTCACAGCCACCCTCCAGACAGGGGAAACAAAAAAGGGAAGAAAGTGGGGAGAGCTGACATTTAAACGTCCCTGGATCTGGCACTCGCTCCATCATGGGTTGAAAACACGCTTTGTGCGACTCCAGTTACACAAAAAGGACTGGCCTTGCACAACCCACTGCCAAGGTCTGGCACAAACACACCCTGTTGGCTGCCAAGCTCCAAGTGGGTGAAGGTTTTCCTTTCTCCAAACTCCCAGGCTCCGTTAACTCCCCGATCCCCCTCGTGACACCCGCCCGGCCCAGTTTCTACTGTGAGATTCACCCCCTCCCCTCCCTCCCCTCTCCTTTTTTTATGTCCCTGGGAAATGTTTTAACACCTCCCCTCTGTGTTCTCCTGGCACCATCTGCCCTCCCACTCCCTCAGTTGGCTTTGCCCTGGATTTTCTTCCAGCTCTCTCCACCCCTTTACTTGGAAAAACCAGGCTGTTCTCTGCTTCCAGAGGCACCACCATGGTGCTGGTGGAGACCTTGCAGTGGCCCTGGGTGTGACTGCAATAGCAACAGTGCCCCAGAATAGCACTGTGGCTTTGGGACATTGCCAGCCCCCAGTCTGGCTCCCAAAGTTTTGACAGTGTCCTGCAGGGACACAGTGATGGGGGCCAAGTGATGCCCCTGATGCTTTCACCAGCCAGGTCGCACAGGAGCTCCCCCAGGGGCTGGTTAAACCGGGATTTGGGGAGTTCTACACCTCCCCAGACACTTGAAGAACTGTTTTTAACACCTAAACAGTGTCTGCACATAACAAAATGTACATTTTTCACAGCACTGAGTGATGCCACCACAGGAGCAACAGTGAATCCCATTCCCATCTTATTTCTGACCCTCACTTTGCGTGGTTTCTTTGGCTCCAGCAGCTGGTTAAACCAGGATTTGGGGAATTCTACACACCCTCAAACCTTAAAGAACTGATTTTAATACTTAAACAGTGTCTGCACATAACAAGAGGTAACATTTTTCACAGCACTGAAAACGACACCACAGGAACGACACTGAAGCCCCTCCCATCTTAGTGATTACCCGCACTTTCCTTGTTTAATTATTTCCCCCCCAACTTTGTGTGTTTGCTTTGATTCCAGTGGCTGGTAAACCCGGGATTTGGGGAATTGTACAACCCCCCCAGAATCTTAAAGAACTGATTTTAACACCTAAACAGTGCCTGCACATAACAAAATGTCCATTTTTCACAGCACTGAGTGTTGCCACCACAGGAACAGCAGTGAATCCCATCCCATCTTATTTCTTACCCTCACTTGGTGTTTGTTTCTCCCCCAACTTTGTGTGTTTGCTTTGATTCCAGTGGCTGGTTAAACTGGGATTTTGGGAGTTCCACCCTTCCCAGGCCCCTGAAGAACTGTTTTTAACACCTAAACAGTGTCTGCACATAACAAGAGGTACATTTTTCACAGCACTGAATGATGCCACCACAGGAACGACACTGAATCCCATTCCCATCTTATTTCTTACCCTCACTTTTCTTGTGTTTAATTATTTCCCCCCCAACTTTGTGTGTTTGCTTTGGCTCCAGCAGCTGGTGAAACTGGGA